CCCAGAGCCCTACCTGGATAATCCTGCTTGAGATTGGGGAAGTTCATGTTGGCGTAGAGGACGGGGGAGATGGTGGAGAGCTCGCCCAGCTCCTCATCCTTTTCCCAGCGCTGGAGGCTGCGCTGGTTGTAGGACAGGCCATCGCCCTCCCCCTCTGTCGTGGGTGTTGTGGGGGTCGAGGGGGTGGTGGCAGCCGAGCTGCTGGCCCAGGGGCTCTCGGGCTCGCAGTGGTCTGGGCTGAAGAAGCCACTCCGCTCCCTGCGTGGAGGGGAGAGTGTCAAGGATCGTCAGGGTGTGAGGGAAGAGGGGGTCCCACAACACCCCAGGCTTCAATCCCTCCAAGGAGACCACCCCCAGCTCCCCCACGTACCTGCTGTCGAGGAATGGGGACGGGCAGACCCCTGAATACGAGTCCAAGGAGACGGATCCGGAGAGTGAGCCCAGGGAAACGCTCCCTGAGAGGGAAAGGAGACAGGTTGGAGGGAGGGCAGGGTTGAGGTTCAAACCTGTGCCTGCCCTGGGGGTGCCAGCAGCCCCCAGAAAATGCAGCATTCCCGAAAACACCTCCCACGTTCACCCCCAGAGCAACTGGGAACAGGCAGGAGCCCTGGCTCTCTGGTACCACAGGCACTGTGCTGCTCTCTGAGCAGCTCAACCCCATCACTTTGGCTGTCTGGGGGGGTTGGCAGCGAGTCCTGCCCTTCTCCCCACCATCCAGGCCCTCCCAGTCCACGGTGGCCCTGCCAGTTCCACCCACCCTGCCCCGAGAGCTGGAGGTCTCCTTGCAGGAAGGGGCGCTGTGCCCGGCCGGGGTCCTGCCCGGCCTCCATCCCCCCGGCCACGCAGTTGAGGGGCTGCTCCCCCCGCTCCGCCGAGCCCAGCACGTCCTTGAAGAGCTGCTGCACGTCTTTGCTCTCCATCTTGGGCAGCTCTGCAGGGGCAAGAGCAAAAAGGCTGAGCCATCCCAGGGTGCAAAACCCACACCGGTGGGAAGCAGAGGAGAAACCTGGGGGTCCTGGCCCCGGGACTGCCCTCGCTTCAGTGGATGAGGGTGGTCTCACCTTCCGTGGGGATCTTGTCGAGGTCAGAGCTCAGCGCTCCCTCGCCCGGGGTGGCCGGTTTCTCGCTGTCCCCAGGGTCTGGGGAATCCTTTGACTCATCGGCCCCTGTGAGGAGGAATCAGGAGGTGCCTTCAGCCCCAGGCTCAGGGTTGGAGACCCCCATGTGAACCCATCGCCCCCCGATCCCAAAAAGGGACAGGAGTCCCTCGGTCCTCCAAGGACCCC